TAAAAGTTGGCATTGAGATTCAATCATAGTTATAGTTAAATAGTTGAATCCGAGATGGCGCGTTGAAGTGCATTATTAGCTATTCTTTATATAATTAACTTCTTAAAATAAAATTGCGAATCTTATTAATGGAATTGACACATATATAGTATATGTAGAACAACAGAGTAAAAACAAATTACATTTTTATTAAACACTACCTGGACGAAGTCGCGGGCAAAAACTAGTTAAATCAAAAATAATAATATATTGTTGTATTTTGCACATAAAATCGTAATTTAAAAGTTTTTGAGGTTAAATCATAGAAAACTTTACTTTAATTCTATACAGATTTGTTGTGTTGTTGTAGTCAAACTAATGCAATTGTAAATTGTATTCGAAACATCCGTCCAAGACGGAAAGCAATAAGTGGAAGCACAATATAAAAAAGGACCACGCCGGGAATACAAAAGGGCTCTCGGTGCGGCACAAAGAAAACTGTTTCATTATCAGTGACATTAACGACGCACCGGGGCGCCGCCGACACTAACGAAAACCTTCTTTAACGCGTTTCGTTTCTCCCGAATACCTACTTGCACATACCGAGGCGAAACAAAACTGCAACGTGAAGATTCCGGAAGTGTTCGTGCTAGGACGCCGAGGACACGGGAAACAATGAACGTGCCATTACTATCCGGCGATGCGGTGCGTTGTTTTGTTCTCTGTCAATGGATTGCACGACAAATACAGCTTGAATCCTGAAGCAATCACTGCTGAAACAATTCACACCATCTAGCGGCGTTGTATTGAAGTATAAAAGGTTACTAGAAGACGCTGTATATTTGGTTCAAAGTAGTTAACGTGCATTTGCATGCGTAATGCTTTGCCTGGTCGTTTGTATTCTTCGCGCTCTTCCGAAGACATTCACATTTACAACACCCAACAGCAATACAATACCAATTGTTGTTGATGTGGAATTGTCAGGGATTCGAGGGTTACAGGGTCATTAACAGCAACTTAGACCCAAACTACAATAGAAATGGAAAGAAATTTAAGTTTAAGTGTAAACATTCAAACCTAACCTTATTTCTACGCTATTCTAAGGTAATTTATGATAATTAAAATCTTTTTGTTTACAAAATCATAATAATAATCGTGATGAAAGCGAATTCCTTTGATAATTAAACAATCTTTATGATTTTGTTTGTTCTGCGTGTAGAAAATTAACTTCAACGTTGCGCATTTGAAATTATTTGAGCAAAAAGGGCAAGTAATTTACTCTTGGAACACAATGCAACCGAGTGCACAATCATCAGAGATAATAGAAGTATTACGTTCGCTTTCCGTTTTCGGAGTTTCCGTTGCCGCTTTGTGCGATTTTGGGTCTTACATTTTGCGGTTTCGTGTTTCTTCATCAACTTTTCAGTAATCAAGAATTTGCGTCTAATTACAAGTTGATTTCGGTTGTCGTTTGGAAAATAAATCGCTTTCCGATTGAGGCGGGCATTGACGGGTGTTTAAATTGAGTGCTCAACACCCGGCGCTTTTTGCCGCCCCCCGAAATAGACTCGGTACACGAACATAATGGGATTGTTGTAAATAAAGGAACAGCGACCACGACGTCGTAGTGATGCCTCGCTATTGTTCCGTTGGTGGTAGTGGCGACGGCATAAATTGGTTTTGCGCTTTTACCGCCTCCCACTGCCCGCCACTGGCGCTGTAAACCCGTCCGCCCACAGCGAACGCTAATTAATTCGTTATCAATTGAAGAGTGCCTCATAAATCAGGCCTTTTGTCCGCTTCAAGTTCGAAGCAGCCTCGAACTGTTTGCGTTTTACGCTAGACGAATTACTCAGCCGGAGCTTTTACGCGCGACACGACGCTTCCAGAACGTTTGCAGTTTGCCGGAGAGCGTTAATTGATTTCCACGCGCGCTGCGGGCGCAAAAATGAAACACGTAAAAAGTTGCAAACGATATTTCGTTTCGGATGCAATTAAAAATGGCACGAGGAGAATGCGGAATGCAGAATTCAGAGAACAATTACATTCAGACATTACACATCATACAGGTGGAGAGCGCAAGAATGTTACCGAGCAAAAAATATCAATTTTTGAACAAAGAGTGGTTTACACCACGAATGAAAGCATTAATTGTCGCTGAATATGAAAAATTTCGACGGGAATAAATTTTCCTCGTGAAGGAGGAGGACATTGACGTTTTCGTCATTGATTGAATTAAATTTGGGGTTTCGGGGACGCAAACGCAATCCAATTTCGACGCGTCTCGCGCACGACGCTCGCGAAATGGAATCGGTTATTTTATGCTGTTCTCAGCGTATATTTTTCAATTTCTTTTCGCATTACCAGCGTCCCATCCGTGCCCGGCCGCGAGAACGTCGTTGTCGGCCGTTTCTCGCATTCGCATTCGATAACAGGATTCCAAGCGCATCCGAAATCCATCTACTGTCACACGTCATTGAGCTTCCGGCCATTCAGCCAACTTGCTGACTAACAATCTTTATCTTAATGCAAACGAAATCACTTTTTCTATCAATTGATGCAATTACCAACATACAGAATGTTTGTAGGGCATCAAAGTAAGGTTAAGTTGTAATTTGTAGGTTATGTGATTTAATTTAAATTTTTTTTCAAAATTTTGACCAAATTTAGCAAAAAAAATCTTCTGAAAGTGAAAATATAAAAAAAAACGCTTCATAATATAAGAGATATTTTTATGACAGGAGGAAAACGTGAATATTTATTTATCCAGTAAAAAATGCGCCTTTTTCCCTCGGCTATAGCCCGAAAGCGTTGCTGTTTCCTACGCCTGAGTACGTGACACGCACGCCGTCTTCTTTTTCTTCCTTTGCGCATTGTGCGTGCTGCCATTTTTCGCCGGCGTGCGGCTAAGTGAAAAGCGAATGACTGTGCGCGATGAACCAGACGGGAAAAACGAACACAAGAGTGTCACGAAGCGCGCGACACAAAGCGCCCACCACCTACAACCTTCCTTCCTTCGACGGGGCGGCGGAGAAATTCATGCAGGATGCATAAATAAAGCGGTTTATGGCCACCGCCACCGCTCGCGACGTTTGCATTCATACGAGTTGATGGCTCAAGGTATGGACCTGACGGTTTCCACTTCCGTACAGCTAGAGGATACCTTAAAATTAATATACTGGGTGTTAACAATAAACAAACAAAGTTTTCATTGTAAAATTTAAAAAAAAAATCATAAAATTGGTCAAATTTGGCTAAATTATAGTGGAAAATGATGTATACTTGGTTGCATACATTAAAATGATTCAAATTATAGTTTAACCATGTTCCTGTATATTGTACTCACTCAAAATTTGTGTGAACTCCAAAGCAGGTCCAGGACCCACCTAAAACGTCTTTAAGACCCCGATGTGTATGCACGTGGAGGTCCTATGAGTTGTTACGGACATCACACATGAAAGGATAATGCTTTCGGACTCGTAAAAAGTCTAGCCGGACAGTTTTGCATTTTTTCGCTGTTGTTGTGCTCGACTGCGTTTCACTAAGAAGTGCATCGCATCTAAAACATCCCACCTGAGGCAATATGAGCAGAAGGAAGAAGATGGCGGCGGAAATCTAGAATGCACGAAGCAGTTTGTAAATAAACCCGGCCGGCAAAGTGCGCTCTTCACTATTTCACGTTTACCCGCGTGCATAAATTTGCCGAAATAATTTATGCAACAATATGAACTACGCGCAAAATAAAAACACGTAAAACCAACTGATTGCATTTTAATATTTTTCTATGTTAAATAATTCATTTAGTTTGTGTGTTTTTGGAAAGAGTTTTTGAAAGATTAATGTTGTGTTTTGTTTTTTTATGTATTAAGGGTGTTTCAGGAAGTGCTTATAGAGTATACCTTTCACCCTTTTTGTTTCCCTTTGTTTTTTGTCCTTTTTGTTGTGTTGTGCAGCGGATAGATGCAAACAAAGATAATACCCTCGGACTAAATGGAACAAATGGTATGAAATAGTTGACCCCCTCCGGAGAGACCAAACCACAACTCTTATTCAACGCATATTCTAAAATGGAAAACAAAACACTGATATGCAAGGGTTAGAGAAAATGCTTTTTACACCCCCGGATATTTTTTTCATTTCCAGTTATGAAGTGGAAAGTCCTGATTGTGTACAGATATAAAAAGCTAACCTGAAATACAACAGGAGAGTTTAGAGTTAGCAGTTACCGGTCGCATAAATACTGCACACGTGTGGAGTATATCAAACCGCCACCGACACCCCCGGCAGCACATCTATACCCACCTACCTTTCACTACCACAAGCGCGATGTGTGTGCATTGGGGTGCATAGGGGTCGGTTGGTTATTGAGTCCATAAATTTTTGTTAATCAGTTTGTGCACGTCCGGTCGCTTTTAGTACTTAATATAAACCCCTCGAACACGGGATGTAGTCGAACACAATAAAATGCCCCAACGAATCAATAACTAAATATAGTTAGAAAAGGGTGCTGCAAGAGTAAATTTACGAGTATTGTCATAAAAATGAAGGTATCGACATAATTAAACACATAAAACGGATATTTTAGTATTCATTAGCACGGGCACCATCTTGAAATTAGAAAAAATTTAATTTATTTAAAAAAAAATTGTTAGTAAGCGCATAATTCAACAACGCCTTGACCAATTTGACCAATTCTTGTTTTAAAATGTTTGTTAAAGTCCAAGGAATGTTTTTACAACGAGAAAAATTGGAATAATTGCCGGGAAAACCCTAAAAACAGCATTTTTCTATAGGATAAAATTTGCATTGACATTCAATCATAGTTAAATAGTTGAATCCGAGATGGCGCGCTGAAGTGCATTATTAGCAATTCTTTATATAATTAATTTCTTTAAAATAAAATTGCGAATTTTATTGATAGAATTGACACATACTATGTCTAAAACAAGAAAGTAAAAACAAATTACATTTTTATTAAACACTACCGAGCAAAAAATAGGTTTTAATAAAAAAATTCAAAATTTTTGTAAATATAACGTTTATTCATTCATATTCATAATGGATTACATTATTATTAAGTATATTTTATGAGCGTGACAGTGAGAAAATCACCACGTTTGCATCTCCGCCATTTTGTCATCATTACAATCATTCGCCGTTGTTCTAATTGATAATTATAATTAATCAAATCATTACAAGTGTGCGACAGACTGATTGACACATAATTAGACTGAGATTGAAAAGCCTGGCGTGGGCTTTGCGAGAGAAGGGGATTAGTGAGCAGTGAGCACACTAAGCAGCGCCGCCATTTTGCGTTAGTGAGCGTGTGTTGTTAATTAATGTAAATTAAAAGCAACCTCTCTTTTCTATGCGCATATTACGAACAACATAATACTAGTATTAATCATTTTGGTAATTAATTCGAATACTTACAACGTATTCTAAATTCAAACTAAATTATTATGTTTTTAAAATTGTATTGCAATGTGATTTGCACTTTAGTTATTGACTTTTTGTTTTTTGTTCTTGAAACAAACCGAAAACTTTCTTAAAGACAATCATGACAATGAACAATGAATATATGTCTTATTAAATATATTTGTTACGTTTTATTACGAAAGCTAGTTTAATTTTTTTTCTTCTGTTTTTTTACGTTAAATGTTTTATCATCGTCTGTCATTCGATGCTTCGATTCTATGTTGAGATATTTCTTTACACTTAAAAGTACATATACAAATATTTGCGTTTTTTTTATTCATTTGTTTTCATTTTCTGAAACGTTAAAAACAAATTTACTTTTTTTATGTTCGAGTTTGAAATTTTGTACCTAAATCGTTTTTTTCTTCTTTTTATATATGTGTAATTTGTATGTGTTTCATTTTAAAGAGATTATGTACAATTCTACACTCATTGAAAAAATGTTTCTTACATTACATTACACACATCCTCGTTGGGTGGGAGTTTACGGCTTGAACGTGAAACTTGTCGGTTCGAAAAACCCACGTAACATTTAACGGCATTCAGAAGTATAAGAAAAGGACTATCACACGTAAAGTCTTAAGTGTTCTATGTATAATTTCATTTTATGTGTGTTTACTTCAATCCATTTTTCGCATGATTTTTTTTCCTACGTCGATATTAAACGGACGTATTTTCATTCTTATCGAATTTTGTTCGTAATTAGTTGATTAGCAGTGAGAGTTGGTTAATCAAATGATCGATTGTCGTTTTGTTGTAATCCGGCTGTGATGTATTACTTCCGTTAATTAGAATTTTGTTTGTTTTTGCTTTTGAAACGAAATTTTGTTATTGTTTCATTTAAATTAATTGAATTCTATCTTCGAATGTCCATATTATTCATTAACTATAAATTTTATTATTTATTATTATCGATTCGGTTTCATTTCATCGTTTGTGATCAAAATTATACAGTGTGTTTTGGGTTATGTGCGCGTGAGTTACCAGTTGAAGTAACCTTGGTTGCAGGCTCGCGCTGATCCGCACCATTTCGTCTCGACGAGAGGGGGACACAGTCGCCCGCCACGACGTGCATGTTTCAACACTTCTCGGCGACGTTGCATTTCACCAATGCCACAGGACTTGCTGCAGGATGACCAGGATGACCATTCGCTTACTCTACAATCTCGGGGTGGACCTATCCAACATAAATATTAAACGATTTAATATTATTTTAGGAATTTTTGGGGATGCAATGAAAATTCTTGATTTTGGGTATTTATTTGATGAAAACCTTCATTATGCGCACATTCAGGATTTAATCTAATTTCATTTTCTAACTCTGTATCCCCCGTCGTGTGCTTTCAGCATGCGCGTTACGTTTCGTTTCGCAAACTTCAATAAGCCCTCGTATTATCCCGATATTTTCACCTTTTGTCCGCCCGCGCCGTTCGCATTTTGCTCACATATTGTGCCGTGCACAATATGGCGCCCGTTTCGTATGAGCATCTCCAGCACGTGCTGCGTCCGCCGTCGAAGAATAAAGCTGCTTTCATATTCTTCACATTGCTTCCTCAATGTGACGCACATAACATAAGCGTCGTCATCTCGACTAGGACCCAAAACCGGAAGTGCCAACCGGCGCGCGGGAAGCCCAGGTAGGTAAATAAGAAAAAAAAAAAAATTTAAAATGTTAAAAATTACGCTCTAGATAAAAAAATTTAAAATTTTTGTAAAAAAAATCTTATATTGATTTGTAAACTTTGTAAAACGTTTTGAAAGGGACCAGAAGAAAAGGACTAAATTGCGCCTGAATAAAGAATGTTGTAATTTTGTGCTGTCCCTTGGAAGGTCTACGTTTCCCATTTGCGCGCCATGTTGCAACATTGCATTCGCCTGCCTATTCAACTACAGCGCAATCTCTGCGCTCTGCAAGATTAAATCCTCCGACCACAAAGAATGTGCAATTTTAAAATCGTGACGACGAATAGACTCGCGCAGCGTTTTCCACCGATGAATATTTCATTCTATGCACAGGCAACCATTTAAGCACAAGTATGTATATTGCGCCATCCGTATGCAACCAAAACTACACATATGTAGCAGTTTTGTCAAAGAAAACGTTCATAATGAAAACGTGTTAAAACTGATGACTTCATCTTGTATAAAACATTGCATCTAGTTTAACGAGCGTCGTAAAATGCAAGCGGACGCTGCAATCGCACGAAACGGACACAAAGTGTGGTTTATGTGGAGGGATGTGATGACACTTACGTATTTTCTTGGTTTTGCGATACTTTTTACGACGATGGTCCTTCGAGTGTGTTCGATACGAGTCGACGATGCTGTTCATGATGGCGTCCTTGTCGCCTTTTGGCATCACTGCAGATGGCAACAACGCTGCTGACGTCACCACCATGGCGTCGTCCCTCAAATCACTATATTAAAAAAAAACAAAAAAAATAAAATTTTAAATGTTTACGATAAAAACACACTGTAGATAACACTGTACTTCTTGTCGAAATTGTGGTGTGGCCATCGATCAACAATACGCGTACCCACGCGAGCCAATAAATATTTCACGTTTGCTTTGACGTTTATGCGATGAGAGTTTTATTGGATTTCTCGGCAAGCGATGAAGAAAAAAAGTCGACGACCACATAATATCGCTCGTTTCCTCGACCAGCGTCGGCCATGGCGACATCATCCTTCGATCCGACCGTAACACAACCAGCTTACTGAGCTTTACCACCCTCGAGCTTTTGTAATGTAAAACAAGAATAAACCAATCTGAGACGCGGAACTTTTCGTAACTTTAGCCATTTCCACAGATACGCCGTTTGACAAGTCATTCGTCAATGGCCAGCGACAAGATGGCGATCACGACAATCAAAAGCGCTTTTTGTATACAGGGTGTTTATATTTATATATACTCACATGGTATTCAAATATCTGTCATCAACCGTACTGGAATAACTGCTAGAAGCTTGTGTAGTTGTCGATGTGATTGGTTTGGGATAATTGCGTTGATTCATCATTTCCTGTTCGCGGCGTTCTTCTTCAATGGCGGCTTCGATGTCACTATTACCATTAAACACACTGATGGTATTCGGTGTTAAATGCTCCATTTTCAACACCTCATAATGTTGCGCGTCTTCAGAATGATGAAAAACTTCACTTAATTCATATTCTTTCACCTGATAAACAATAAAATACAAATTAAATATAAAAACACATTAAAAGTTTTTAAATGTAGTTTGTATGCACTTACTTTAATAAATTGAAAAGTGCCGATGGCAGACAGACGCTTGAGGTTCGGATAGAAGAAAGACCCAGCCGGATGTGCAGGATAATGCGAGGTGATCCTGTAGGCGACGCCCTGGGGATCGGTCGGCCAATTCGGCGCCGTGAACGTGAAGCCGTTGTCCGTGCCGGCGTCGATCGGATCGACCTGCGATGAACAAACATTAAAGTTAACTCCACACACATTCACACACTGATCTCCAAGACCGAAAACGAAAAACAAATAGATCAAGAAAAGATCAGTAATACACGTAATACTAACCTCAATTGTGATACTATCCAACCAGTTTCCATTCACGCAAAGATCAAAACCATCAATACCAATAAACCAATCCGGTGAGGGCACAATCCGTGATATTAAAGAAACCTGTAATTAATATTAAACACGTTAGTAAAAGTAGCAACATAGGCAACCAAATGAACGGATGGCGGACATGCAAGAAAAACACTTTCACGTCCATATTCACATCCGCTGCGTGTTTGTACCGCAAACGTTTGGCCAGTCGGAAAAGCGACCAGACAGTGATTAATTGATACAACCAGGCGTGGACACACACACACAACACCCGGATGGTGTTTTGCGGAAGTGTCCGTTTGTTTTCGTTACGTCTGGACGCCGCTCAACGACAAAAATAATACAAAGCACCACTGACAAGCCACAAAATGTTTGAATCGTTCCTAATCCTAGACATACAGCATACAGGATGTTTGCTATGCTTTCGTCAATATCTGCGATATTAATTCTTGCGATATTTTAGAGATATCTCCGTGGTGTATGCAGGAGCACGAACAAGACTTGCGAATCAATTCAAGTCGATGCTTAAGAACGCCCTCAACACTTTCAGCGTCCTCAACACGTTCGGTGCTCTTAGACGCTTGTTATGTTCTTGTAATATCCTCTAACAGCTTCCGGCAATATGCGCGGATAGTATTGGCACATTGATATGCCAATAGTTAAACCAAAGACGGCGAATAATGCTATTTCCGATTGGCAAAATGCATATATTACGGATTATGGTAAAGCGGTATAGAGGGTGGAATAATTTATATTTGCATTTGAATCGTCCAAATGAAACAAAACAATAAAATATTTGGTAACTAGCTTTTGCACGAGACTTCGTCCCGGTAGTGATTAATAAAATTGTAATTTGTTTATACTTTCTTGTTCTAGACATAGTATGTGTCAATTATATTAATTAGATTCGCAATTTTATTTTAAAGAAATTAATTATGTAAAGAATTGCTAATAATGCACTTCAGCGCGCCATCTCGGATTCAACTATTTAACTATAACTATGATTGAATCTCAATTTCAACTTTTATCCGTTAGAAAAAGGCTGTCTTTCGGGTTTTCTCGGCAATTATTAGAATTTTTCTCGCCGTAAAATCCATTCTCGGACTTTAACAAACATTTAAAAAAATAATTGGCAAAATTGGTCTAGGCGTTGTTGAGTTATGCGCTTTCCAACAAATTTTACAATTCATTTTTAAATTATAGATATATTTTCGACATTCTTTAATTTTATATTGTTGATGCCAGGAATATTTCCGCCGACGCTTCAGGCGTTGATCGTTATAAATGACTGCGGCGGTTTTCGTCCTGCGGTCGCATCTAATGCGAGCTCCCTGCTGAATTCGTGCTACCTGTACAATCCCTTTCGCATTTTCGCTCCTTCTCTACACTTTACACTACTTGCCTCTACAATTGCACCAAAAACAGCGGTGTGAGTTGATGTGACACTCGTGTGTGTGTGTGAGTATAACGTGTGATTTATTTCAGTCAACTGCTGCACAATACTTCTTTCCGGCAACTGCCGCGGGCACAAACTGGCACAAACAACCCCCGACTGGAGTGCGTACTCATACAGCAAATTCCGAAATTCCAGATATGCCTTTTGGTCGGAGCAGTGACACATAGTGACACACAAACTTCTGTTGAATAGGATAGGAAAACTGGGTGGTGTATTTGCGACACAACAAACATAAACAACACATTGCCAGATAGGACTATTAAATTGGATGCATTTCTACTATTACCAAAAGTGGTCTGTGATACACAAAATTTAAAAACAAAAAATTTAGTGTTTTGTGTTTTCCAGGTAATAAATTTAAAATTTTTGTTTTTATCTATAATATAAAAATAAATCGGAAAGTCTGTTAGTAAGCGCATAACTCAACAACGCCTAGACCAATTTTGCCAATTCTTTTTTTAAATGTTTGTTAAAGCCCAAGGATGGTTTTTACAGCTAGAAAAATTCGAATAATTGCGGGGAAACCCTAAAAACAGCCTTTTTCTATAGGATAAAAGTTGGCATTGAGATTCAATCATAGTAGTAGTTAAATAGTTGAATCCTAGATGGCGCGCTGAAGTGAATTATTAGCTGTTCTTAATATAATTAATTTCCTTAAAATAAAATTGCGAGTCTTATTGATAGAATTGACACATACTATGCCTAGAACAAGAGAGTAAAACCGAATTACATTTTTATTAAACACTACCGGGACGAAGTCGCGGGCAAAAGCTAGTTCTTTCTAAAAAAAAAGGTTTTTTTACTGGAGAAATAAGCAACACATGTTGGCACAGCATGCTTTAATTTTTTTGGCAACAGACTGCACAGCAACATTTGTTTCGACACAAATATTATTTACACCCTTAAAATTGAAAAAAAAAACTCCAAGTATACCTATAGAAGAAAGGTCACGTACGAAATAGAAAAATTGCGAAAAAACAGCAATGGAGAAAAGACATACATCAAGGAAGTGATTTACAACTGTATCAAAAAGACAATGTCCAGCCCAGCCGGCGAGGATGCGACAAAAGAAGCATCTTGAGTCTAGACGACAATTTTTTTCTTTTCTTCTTTTCCTATCCTGTTTCACGTTTTAAACCCAGAACACAGCGATTGCTACATTCTATACTATACACTTGTACAAGTTTTGTATCGTGATCTTGTTATCCTTTCAAAACAAAATTACATGTACAAGGTCTCAACTCGCCTTGGAAAGTCCTTGCAAACTGTTCATGTTTATGCCGCGTGAAGGTCTTCAAGGTTTAAACTTTCATGTGGAAATTACCTGAACAATAACATGCTGTTAGGAGTTACAGTTCGAAGGAAATCTTAAATTTTCACCAACACACTGTGTGAAATAATAGTTTTGCGGTTTGCCGTACCAATCCCGAAATTCATTGCCTTGGACGGCTACGCAGTCGCCTTACGACTAGTTACTCGTGTTTCATTTTCAGGACCACAGTACAATATAACACACAGGCAACCCAAGGGCAGTAAATCCAATGCTATAATATTACACATCCTTGGCTAACCCCTCCATTCTCATCCCAGTCGAAGAGGTACGAGTAGAATGTCCTTCTTACAACTCGGGTTTACTACAACGTACTATATCTTACTTAAAAGGCCAAGCGAAGACCGGAGTATAACAAGAGGAACAACTGCAGTTATAGAAACTACTAATATACAGAGTGTTCAATGAAATTCTTACGACAATATAAAACAAATTACAAAATAGGTATTTTAGTGATTGTAAACACTCAGTAGATGAACTTTGTGGGTTTGTATGCTTGTATGTAGTAAAGTCTACCTCAGAGTCGGAAATAGCCACCCTAATTTCTAGTTAGAACAAAATCCTAGAATATGTTATGACTCTACATCTACAACTAACCCTTGGTTTTCGGTTTGTTGTGTTACATCCACACTGTATATATTCAACTATGAAATCATCTGGACCAGAACAAAGATTTCATTTCTAGGGGAAAGGCAATATACCACTTTATTGCTGCGACACGTAGAGAACAACTCTGCCAAATCCAAAATGTCTGAATTGTTAATTCTAGAAGTTTATTATTAATAAATACAAGTGGATGGATCATTGCCAGAAGGGTAGTTAATTACATTACGAGGTTCTTCTTCAAAATATACTGTGAGATGGCATTCTTTGAAAATTTTACTTGTTTTGGGGGAAAAATGTAATGTAACGGAATTGATGCTTCGGGTCCAACGTCCGAAGTCGAATTGAGTGGATGGTGGAGTGCGTGTCTTCGATACCTTCCACTTATCGTCGTTAGTGTTTCCTCTGCGTGCCTGCCGTCACTCGTGTGCTTTATTAGAGTTGATTGGAAGCGTATCAAACCGCCACTGCCAGCCACCGCCTGCCACTTTATTACTGTCTATTGCATTCCCTCTCTTCAGCTCCCAAAATCTTCAAATCAGTATTGCAAGCACATCTTGCATGTCAGTTGCAGTCTGTTCTCTTTTGATTCCACGTGACGTGTAATAATCTTTTATATTTTTGTGGATTTTTGTTGAAATGAACAAATTATTAGGTAACACTTACCCTAGAATGATTCCCATCGACGAAGAACTCCGCCTCGGTGCGACCGACGCCGGCTGTAATCGGCGGCGCGTTGAATTCGTCGTAGACTCCACCCTCGCCTTGGCTTTGCGCCTCGAGCTGATCGGAACGACCCGTCTCGGCGAACGCCTTCACGCCGGCGGAGCTGCGCTGCCCAAGTCGGAACAGCGTGAATGATTTATCGTGGCTGCGGCCTACGGACCAGAAACAGAACAAACAATGAGTTTCGCACGTTTCCAAGCGCTCCAACGCTCAATTTCACCGAGTACGGATTGGGGCACATTGCACATACAATCTAAAGCCGCAAGCTTGATTTCATACCACTAATAAGCCAACACAACGACGATCATTACCATTTTATTCAGCAACCACAATACCCACAGGACTGCTTAGTCTATAAGGTCTTGTTTGTTGCAGGTAATAAACCATAGAAAAGAGAAACTGCGCATCTTTGATGGAATAAAAAAAATAAATGAGGGAAAATGGAAGGCTGCAACGAAAAGTCGTAAACATATTTTTCTTGCCGCGAGAAATGATTAAATTTGCAGGTTTACGAGCAAACGCGTTGAAGCGTTCGGGGCGATATTGTAATGCTGGTGAGCGCAGAATATATAATAAAAATGACTGACGGTTTTATTAAATAAAACGCTTATTAGGTTGCAGCGTGTGCGTGTGTATTTTACAAAACGTCAAAAACAGAAATTAAGCAACTTGGAAAACAACATCTCCGAAAAAAATTCAAAGAGATTAGTTACAACGGTTTTAATTATCATATAAATGCACTGATAAGCTAAAATGCACTGCTATTGTTTTCTGTTAAGACATCAAGGTGATGAATTGCACAATGTTATCAGTTTAAATTTAGTACTATTATTTGTTTAATAAACTGCATAAATACTAAGAATACTTTGTTTTTTCATTCAAAGTTTTGCAGTAGTCAACATGATTTTATTGTTTTTATTAGTTTTGGTGCAGTATGTGTTTGCTGCTATTATTTTTGATTTTTCATCAACTACAAACACACCTTTAACTCCTGAATCATTGATTAATGTTGAAAATCTTGGAAAAATTAAAGGTTTTATTAAGACATCTTCTGATTTACCAAATTTTCGATATTATCAATACAAAGGAATACCATATGCTCAAAGTACACCAAGGTTTACTATCTCCAAAGCTGTTTTACCGTGGAATGGAACTTTTGATGGGACAAACGAAGGGAAAGTTTGTCCTCAAGTTCTAGGTGATGTTCAATACCCAGGATCTATTAGTGAAAACTGTTTGGTTCTGACTGTGACCACACCTGAGGTAAGGTCCACTCACCTACCAGAAGTATAATCTTATAGTATCAATATCGCAATATTCCAGGACCCTAATAATATACAAAGTCTCCAACCTGTAGTTGTATTCATTCATGGTGGAATGTTCAACATTGGTACCAGCAGAACAAGTTTCTATGACCCTGAACTTTTGGTCCAAGAAGGTGTGGTGGTTGTGCAACCAAACTTCCGTCTAGGTGCCTTTGGTTGGATCACAGACGGTAAAGTCATCCCATGTAACCTTGCTTTGAAAGATGTACGCCTAGCTCTACAATGGGTTCAGTCCAATATAAAATCATTTGGTGGTGATCCATCAAAAGTAACCATTTATGGTGAAAGTGCTGGATCTACTATAGTATCCACTTTATGGCAATCCAAAAGGTTGTCTGATCTATTTCATAGTGTTTTCATGCAAAGTGGGACTGTAATTAACCCATGGTCAGTACAAAAACAACCTGAACAAGCTTTTCAAATTGTTTTGAATGGGACCAGGTGTAGGTCCATTGAAAATAATACACTTCAACAGATTGAGTGTTTAAAAAGTTTACATTATACTGAACTGAATGTGGTTAACACTATTGAACTAGTCGTGGTTGATGTTGTGAACGCAGGAGTCCTAGATGGTGTCATTACTGCTGTGGTCATGTAGGATCCTAATGATCCAGATGCTATTGTTGTTGAAAATCCTTTGGAACAACTTAAAACTGGTAATTTTCGGAAAAACGCACCAATGTTGATCACACAGACCAGTGAAGAAATGTTTACGTTTGCTGCTGTGTTGGATACGTTAAGATGGAAGTCTAACGCAGATCTGGTACCATATGGAATGATGGCTAGCGACAAGAACCTAGTAGGCAGCCTGATAAAGTCTTACTATGCAGGGAGTGAAGAGTTATGGCCTGTAACTCCATTACCCATTTATATTAGAGTAATTTTTTTCTTTTTTTATTTGTTTGCTATAAACAGGTTTAAAACTGACTATACAACGTTTTATTATAGTATGGAAGTGACGTCCTTTTCAACTATCCTCTAAGACGCTACGTGGAACTAATCCAACCTAAAATGCCAAATGCTCCAGTTTATGTTTTACAGTTTTCCTACGCCAGTGAAATGGGAAGGTTCAATGATAAAATCAACAAAGTGGGACATTCGGATGACTTGATCTACACTTGGAAAGAAGAAGATTTTACTAAAGAAGATCAAGTCAAAGTTACTTATCCTCCTGAGACATTTGTAAAACGCCGGCAGTTTAATAGAATGATTTGTAATTTTGTTAAATTTGGGTAAGAAAAACTAATTTTTTAAGTATTTACATCCATTTATGGTAAATTTCATTTTTAAAGGAACCCAACTCCTGGAGAAGACCCACTTTTGGGTAATATAATTTGGCCTAATGTTTCCAATATAGATACTTTTGAATATCTAGACTTTAATCACAAAAATACCATTAAACAAAGACCGAAAGATGCTAATTATGCCTTTTGGTCGGATTTATATAAACAGCATGGTGCTGGTTCAATTACTCTGTAATTATATGTTTTAATTTAAATATGTAATTTATGATAATATGCAAAACGACCAAACAAAATAATATTTGCTTAGAAAGTATATAAATGATTATAATATTAATGTTCATTAAGAGATTTATAAAATCACTTGTGACCTGTCATTAAATACATATTTTAATTAAGATGATTTCTTTTATAACTTTTGCTGTAATAAACCTCGTAATAAATGTTTCGGCAACTCCTGTAGGCGAATCAATAGTAAATATTGATGGGGTAGGACCCGTTAAAGGTTTAATTCAAGAATATGGAGATTCTTCTGGAGATGTTTATTTCCAGTATCTGGGAATACCTTTTAGTCACGCAGGACGTTTTGAAGTTGCTCAACCAAGTCCTCCATGGACTGAGGTATACGATGCTACCGTGGAGGGAAAGGTATGTCCTCAACCAACTGGTAATATTCAGTTTCCGTTTGGTGTCAGTGAAGATTGTTTGGTTTTATCAGTTACATCACCACAGGTTAGTTTTATGCCAAAATTTTCGTTTTTTTTTTGTTTATTTTATTTTTTTAATGGAAAGGATCCTAATGATCACAGTTTACCTCTGAAACCAGTCGTGGTGTTTATTTATGGAGGTGTTTTTATAATCGGCACCTCCCATAAAGAATTCTACGACCCTGAAATACTAGTAGGAGAAGGTCTGGTTGTAGTACAACCTAACTACCGCCTGGGATCTTTCGGTTGGGTTACAGATGGTTCAATAATTCCTAAAAACATTGCTTTGAAAGATGTAAGATGCGCTTTGGAATGGGTCCAAGCACATATTCATGAGTTTGGTGGTGATCCCAATCAGGTGACCATTTATGGCGAGAGTGCAGGTTCTGTTATTGTTTCTACATTGTGGCATGCACGACAACGCCTCAACAATCTCTTCCATGCTGTGTTTATGCAAAGTGGCGTTGTTATAACTCCATGGGGTTTACAAAAACGACCAGACTTAGCGTTTCACAATGTTCTGGTTAAAACTAGATGTATTTGCACGATTGATCAACCCGTGGAAGATCAAGTTGATTGTTTAAGGAGCCTAACATATGCGGAATTAAATATTGAAGATCTTTTGACTTTGGGATTAAATGATATAGCAGCAGCTGGGTTATTATCAGGGTTTAATGCTGCAGTGGTTATGGAAGATGCTTGTGATCCAGATGCAATTGTGATAGAAGATCCGTTACAACAGTTGAAAAATGGAGATATCAGGGCTGATATGCCGTTGATGATGAGTATAACCAATGAAGAAGTGTTTACATTTGCTCCTTGTATGTTTGGTTGCATAACTACACATGAGATGTTAAGTGGGTAGTATAGGTTTAACATTTTTTAAATTTTCTTTCAGTGGTGGATACGGTAAGAACAAAATCCAACGCTCAAATTGTACCTTTCGGTATGGATGCAGCCAATCCTAACTATGTAGGTGGTTTGATTAAAGGTCATTATGCGGGAAATGAATTACTTTGGGCAACAGCTCTTGACATAACTTACATGGAGGTAACTATAATAATACTTTCTTTATATGAAGTTATGCTTTAAACTGATTAATATATTTTATATTAGTATCTAGGTGATTTAGCTTTTAATTTCCCTGGTCGATATTTTGTGGAGTTGATTAAGCCACACATGGCTGCAAATATTTACGTTTTACAATTCTCTTATGCCAGTTTAATGGGACGATTAAACAATCAGATTAACATGGTTGGACATTCAGATGACTTGATCTACACATGGAAAATGGAATTTATAACTAGAGAAAGCATTGCCAAAATTGCTTATCCTAAAGAAACTTTTCAAAAACGAAAAGAATTTAACAGAATGCTTTCTAACTTTGTTAAATATCAGTAAGTTCAAGATTAAGAATAAATTTTTATTATTTTTTTAAAATTTTTTGTTTACAGTAATCCGACACCTAATAATGGTGAAGATATTGATATTTTGGGTGATTTAATATGGCCACCTGTAACTGATATTGAAATATTTGATTATTTAAATTTTGATCATAAGTTGACAATTCAGCAACGACTAAAGGATAAAAATCATCAATTTTGGCTTGATTTATACACAAAATATGGAAGAGGTACAATTTCTTTGTAAGTGAAAAAATGGCAAATTAAGTGTAGTATAAGTGTAGTACTCGTATATATTAAATGAATGTTTATATTTTGTAAATAAATTTATATTTAAAAACTATATCAACGTTTAAAAGAATAAACCTGTCATAGAATACAATATCACATAAATGCTGAGTTGCGCGCAGGCGCAAGCTCCACTCCGTGACTAAAGCTCGTGATTATTGTACTTTAGCCACGGCCTTGACCGTCCGTGCATAAAATACTACTCTTTGTGTCTCAAAATCATTGAAAAACTAGCGTTTTAAAAGTGAAAGTAAAAAAATAATTATGTGTCTTCAAACTGTTAAAGTTATTTAATTTTAAAATAAAAAAAATCCCTAATTAAGTTTTTTTGACATGGCATTTCCCTTCAACTTATTAAGCAAAACAAACAAGCAAAGTTCCTAATGAAACTTATTTTTTCAGCGTTCCACCACCCGCTTCATTCCTTAAACATAACTTCATCATTCCCACGCATTCCGGTTTGCGTTCCTCCTTGTTAAAACACATTACGCAGGCGTCCTGCAAAGAAAACAACCCAAAACCTATAAAAACCAAACGCGACGACGGTTTTTTATGCGTAATTACGCGATGGGGGTCCTTTTCATAAATAAACTCATAAAGTGTTGCAAAATTGATCAAGTAACACCCACAAGAAAAAAAATACATTGACACATTCCTAAGATTGCGGAAATGAACCTTTTTAGATTATACAAGTGTACAAATTTCTACAAGGTCAAAAGTACGTGTATATCACTCAAAGTTTAAAAAAAGCGTAATGAAAATAAATTCACACAGCGGCGTTAACATTTTACGACGCGCGCTAGAAAGTCCGACGTTAATGACACTCGTTATCATTAATAAAAATCAGTTCATAATTCATTCAACAGACGAGTCGTCGTTGCGCCTTGTCCCGCCTCCACGTTGACTTGTCCCTCGTCGTTTTAATTACGAGCTCGTTCTTTGCTTCGTCTTATAATCACAACGTTTCACCAAAGCTTCATTAACGACTCCAAACATTGAATAAAGAACCTTGCAAACAAAAGCAAACAATATTTTCATCAATAAATGTTACAAACATAATTTAAATGAGCGTAGTTTTTGAAAATATTTTAAGTTGATGGCGTGCCGCGTGCAAATTTCACTGCATCAGAGGTAAATTGAAAATGATGCATTACCTCATCGTGTGGAACATTTAATTATCCCTGTCGGAAGCCTTGCCTGCGCTATTCGTTCACCGAGTACGCTGCGCACGAAACTCGTTTAATACCAGGAAGAGGATAAAGATATTCTAATTAAAACTGAGGTATAAATCTGGCGCGGAATTCGACTACCGCCATAATGAAGAATGTTTTTTTTTTGCAAATTAATATTGAATAAACACACCTCTATCAAAATCCCACGCTGAAGCATTAAAGATTAATAGACAAAGCACGTCGTTTTTATTATTAATCCCCGAGTGTCCAGCACCACCACATTTTGTGCGCCCTGGTTTAAAGGGAATTCTGATTTAATAACCAATTCATATTTTCCAACCCGTATGTGTGTGCGTGTGGTTGCCTAGCTATTGCAATTTCTCCCTGTCGGCGATTCCAAAGGGGTAGAGGACAAGCGAGCGCGTTAATACTTTATGATCCTATTGAAAAACCACTAGCGTCCGACCGAATAAACCCTTGCCCTCGCCGGAAAATGAATGAGAACCAGCGTGGAAGTGCGGAAGGGTTGCGATGTGAATGTTTTATATAAATGAGAAAGGTAAAATCAAGAGGTTTTTAGGTGAAACAAATTTCGCCGAAAAAATGAAGTAGATGAAAGGCGTGCGTTGGCGAATTTACAAATGCACAGAAACAAACAAAGAGAAAATGCTTTTCAAAGGGTTTTTGATACAATAGGCTTTATATCTGTATGAAAATTATATTATATTAATTATTAAGTCATTTTTTTGTAACATCTTGGATAAATATGAAAAAAACTGTAAAAAAAAACTTTTACTTTTGTGCGATGAAAAAGTTTACTCTGTCGAAGTAGTAAAAGTATAGTAAAAGTCAAAGGGATAAGTCTTGTGACGATTCTACGACTCCTTTGAGAGCACACTTTCCAACACGTATGCCGAGGCATGTCGAAGACGCGCGGCAAAGGAAGTGCGTTCTTTTCGATATCGACGTTGAACGTCAAACGTGCATGCGAAAGAGCAAAACGTATGCGCGTCACGATCCGGGAAGCTTCTTTATGACGAACAAAAGCCGTGCCAAGTTTTCCATGCCTGCTGCTTGCTCTGCGAGAGTGCCATTTCGGTACCATCATCATTTGTGTAAAAGTGCGAAAGTTTTGGCGGAGGCAATAAGTTGTAAAAACAATTTTTTCATAGCAAAAATAAAAATTTTGAAATTTTAACTGAATTTTAGTATTCAGTGTTTGAGTTTTAACAATTCAAAGTGAAATAATAAGAAAAATAAAGTTGAAGCGACTTGAGTCTGATATCGAAAAGCAATTTTTATTTATATATAGTTTAAGATGATATATGTCTCGGAAGCGAGGCGAAGTTAATGCCGGAAGCGCTGCGACCGAGTTAGGCGTGCAAGAAAGTCCTGCGATGCACACACAGTTCCCGTCGATTCGGCAGTTTCGGCACCGCCGCCGCAGCCGATGGCAATAACTTTCTGCTGACTTGCGAGCGCGCCTCGCGAGTCCATTACCGCCACGGATTCTACCGCCGCTTTTAGAGTCACCGTGTCCTGTCGCTGCCGCCATGTTTTTACTCATTTCGTGTTAGAAAACGCAACGCAAGGCAAAAAGCGCAGCAGCGATGCAGGCAAACCTTCTTCATTCCAACAAATCGAATACAAACACAATAACCTCAGTTTATACAATAGACCGTACGTTATCTAACGCTGAAATATCGAATATCAAATGCACCGAAACTTACTCTTGACGTAAGAGAAAATAGAACATTTGTAAGCATTCAGAAACATTCAGAATAAATAACTCTACTGAATACCAACACATTTAAAAAGATTTAAAATTTAAAATATTTTAAAAATTGAATTTTTTAAATTAATTTATGTAAATCGTGATATTTTCATTTTATTTTTTTGATATTTTGGAAATAAAATTATTTTCTTCAACAGACTGTATCTCTAGAACTTATAGATAGCAGTATTCGAGTACTGAGAGTAAGGAAGTACCTGTCGACGAAAACAAGCCGAACGACCGAAATCTCCGCATTGCACCAAAATTAGTTTCGTATAGCTTCGCAAGAATCTAAGCATGAATCACAATTTCCCAATCCCGAATTTTGGCAAAAATCATATAAACAGCAACACATTTGTTATAGACACGTGAATTTATTATTAAAGTTGCGGTCGAAGTGATTTTATGTTGTTTTCCTGTGCTACATATTAAGCACTAAAGTTTGCAACCCAACACACATGTTAAAAGAACCGCCCGCCATGTTGACTGCAATCGATGTTTTTGGGCGATATATTATGAACCAGGTGCGTTTTAAACTTCTAAAATTCTGTATTTTCAGATTAAAAAATATTAATTCAAATTTTAAAATGAAGTAAAACTACAGAATGGGAATGTACAAGTAGAAACATTTCGTTCGGCGAATGAATTCCGAAAACTCTTCTATTTTGCGTTATAACGAACGCGAATGTGCAATATTTATACGTGCATGTGTGTAGGTAGCCTTTGTTTAACTGAATGTCCACTTCGTCCACCTTGTGCATGACATACGCGGAACATACACACGCTTTGCTGTAGCTCAGCAGCCGGTACCAAAGTGGAAACGAGTAAATAGTGGCGCACCGGGCCGGCAGTAATTATACGCGCTTGTTCAGTCCCCGGCGGCAAACAAAGTTTTAATTGAACTCGATGCCTTTCTATACGCGTTTTCTATAAAGCCATACAGACGTACTTAAATCCGCTTTGAGCGCAGTGTGAAAATTGTTCCAACCAGAACAAAGCGGAGTACAAATCAGTACAGAATGAATTTGTTGCACAAGTCTTACTAATTAGGTAATAACACAAAAGTTAGACACTTGAAAATCTGTAATTTACAAACCTGTTGAATATGAATATTTTGTGTACGGTTAAATTTTGAATCCAAAAAATAAACGAAAATTATTTTTTTTCATTTCTTTGCGTTTCAGCTTGAATGAACTGAATCAGAATCTGAATCAATCTTCATTTTTCTATACCCGCTGGCTGTGCATTCATCCTCCATTCGTCTGGTCGTATTTATTCGCTTAATGCGCTTTATACCCTTTATTGTCTTTGATAAAAATGCCAAATTGAGTCATAATTCACGCCAAAAGACTTAATTTTCCATCGTTTGCTCACTATTCTTACTGTTTTTTTCTATTTTCCACTAACAATCACTACTATTCTTTCTTTCATCATTCACATCCACCAGTAATTGCTCACTGAACAGAATTCATTTATTTACTGGATTTTTATTGCAGCTGAAATTTTCCGTTTCCTGTTTTTTGTGTACGAACGGACAATTCTTTAACTCTTCGTTATTTCGTTCGGAAGATCTATGAGCCGGAATTTCAGCCGAAGAATGAGAGTTCATGAGTCGGACTGAAAATGAAACTGAACGTTGAGTTGAAAAAAAATAAAGCTGCAAGGCGAGTCTGCTGGAGACGATGAAGAGAAGACGGAAACGTTTTTGGAAACGACCACGTTTGCTAAATCTGAGGCCAGCTTGAACTTGAAGGAAGTAGACGTAGAAAAAGCGGCACGGCGATGTTCTTTATTATCGTCTTGTAAATCGTCCGGCAATATGTCACAATGTCTGGTCGAGCAAGACCAGGGACCAACAACCCCTCACAGAGACTAAATTCTTACAGACTTATAAATGCGTCGCCTTTTTTCTTGTTTTTTAGGTTAAAACAGATAAAAACATCAAAGCAGATAATAATATTTATACCTAAATGCTTTTACCTTTATTATTTATCTTCTACCTTCCTGCATATT